GGAGTGCTACAGTGCCACAGAGGCATATCTACCGATCGCGAAGAAAGGGATGCAGATGTGAGGCGACGGATAGTAGGGTCATGGGCATGGCACCGCCATGATACCGCAGAGGTGGGACTTCCGTGAAGTCATCACCCTTATTCTCATGAAGGGAGAGCGCTTGGTCGTGAAAGGGGCCAAGAAGGTGGAGAACGCAGAGGCAAACTCCAAGTATCGAGACAAGGCTGAAGGGCAGAGGTCAAGGAATTTCGTAAGACCGGTGTCAACGAGCTTCTCATCAAGATAACCGAAAGTGAAGGACTTCAGGTTGACCACGGAACGAAGCAAACAATACGCAGTGTTGTACCTTTGCAACTTAGAGGAGTAGGCGGCAAAGATGATGGAGAATACAGTGCAATCCCAAAGGCGACCAAAACTACTAGAGACTTGCTCTAAGTTAGGGTGAAAAACAACTTCTTACATCCCAAAAGTTTGATAGCATTGAGAAGGTGAATCACCGTAGCTAACTTACCATAAGGAGTGCAAACACTTCGAATGCTTCAGAAGTGTGAGCAAAGAGCAAGCGAAGGTTAGTAACCAACTCGATGCATGGAGTACGACCCTCGAGGAGGCGGGCAAAGTCAAGTAACCTTTGCCTTCTCAACTCTTAAGAGAATGGACGAAACCAAGTACCCCAATTATCTTATCTATCCAGCAAAGGAGATCTACACAAGTTCAAAGACCCTTCGAAGAAACCGAATAGAAGGCAATAGTTGTCAAATTCTCACCATTGGTGATCAGTACTACTGAGAGTAGATTATCCTCTTCATTTCCCAACAGAATGTCAATTGAAAGCGGAAGTGATGCGAACCTACCTGAAAGTGACGACTAAGTGAAAGAAGAATCGATGGACAAATTTTACGGAGGAAGGACCCAAAAACTTTAAACTATGCGAGGCGATGCTCGTTAAAACTCTAACAAGCATCCACCTAGTTCAAGCAGCATGAAGCATTTGAGAGACTAGTGAATACTAAGGATGGTATTTTCCTTCATATGAGGGATCCGTAGGAAACAACAGAGATCAACACAACTCAGCCGACCCCACACCAGAGTCAAGAGTCATTGACGAGTTGAAGCAACATGGTGGATCAAAGTTTGACTGCTCAACAATAGCGGCGGAGTCCAGCTGGGAGCCAAGAGGCTCATTGCAACTCGAGCAGAAGATTGAAGACTCAGCAAAGGCGAGGAGATGCAGTGTCTGCAAAGGCTTCGACAAGGACATCAAAGGAATAAGTGGGGGAGAATGTCACGGACAAAACTGTAAATGGGGTGTTTGATGTAATGCTCATGTATGTCTGTGTCTTTCGATTTTATTCATGCTTTACACAGCATGCAAATGGCTGGCAGTAGGCTTAGCAGCCCCATTTTCTTTGGTTTTGGTGGACGTCCTAGGCTTGCAAACAAAGGTTGTGTCATGTGGGCACTTGTAAGGATTTCGATCTATAGTGGGCCATTTTGGACCTTTTGTTGTGCGACCGTTTAGAGCTTGTATAGTATGTTTGTAATTTGCATTGACTATGAAGTGTTTGCTAAAGTGATTGCTTGTGGATCCCGAGTAAGACGCTTTCTCTAACCCGTTTTCTCTTTTGTAGGTCCTAAGGGATGATAGGAGGTTTCGGGGAGGCTGACATTTGCAGACGGACACGCAAGGGTGCCGCACAACTTGGGCAAAACCAACTAAGTGTGTGACACCGTGGTGGGCGGCGACGGTCGAAATCGACCGTCACCGACCGATTTCGCGTGGTAACGAGGCAGAAACAGCTCCAATTGACGGTACCGCCCAGTAACGGGCGGTCTGCGTACCAGTTTGCCGGCGGACCGGTACATACCGCCCCGTACGAGCGGTATCATTCGAAATTAAAAACCTTGTATATAAGTACCTACTATCTGTCAGGATTAACTCACTAAATTAACAAATCCATCAGAACAATTAAGGAAATATTTATGATAACCATTATGGCAAAGCCACTTTAGGTCTCCACAACACCAACAGGCAGCATATGTTACAAAAGTTACAAATGAACACAACTTTATTACACTAGAATGGAACTTCTGGCATTCAAAAGACACATAAAATTTCATCATCGGCAATGTTCTTAATAGTCACCTTTTAAGAATATGACCAGATGTCAAATCTGATAGTGACATATTTGTAAACAAAACTATTCTAAGCCTTCTTCACATGGATGAATATTCATACTTTTGAGTAAGACATATAATACAACTATTATTGTAAAATAAACTAATGCCAACCATAACATAGCATCTACTTCTGAGTAAGACATATAATACAACTATTATTGTAAAATAAACTAATGCCAACCATAACATAGCATCTATCAGACACTTCTAGTGTGTGTTAGATGATCTTATACTAATACTGACATGCCTACATCAAGCATGTGATTACAAGTGTGCTTCTATGCTAGACTATCAATGACTATGCTTGTATGCTTCAGTGCTAAGGAATCACTTATTATGCTTGTATTCTTCTGTTCTAAAGTATCAAGGAGTACCAGAAAATGCTTGATTCTTTCATGTCAAACCTTTCTTGAAGCTTATAACTCTGTCCTCTATCACTAGACCGGGACAATATTTGTATACATTGTCAAAATCATGGTTCGAGCAGAGCATCTGACTTGTAGTTTAACATTCTCTTGTTCTATATATTGTTTTCATTAATTAAAAACAACAAAAGAAGGTTTATCTAAATCATATTTGTAAGTTAAGACACACCTGATTTAACAATAAAAAATAAAAAAAATGACTAACATGGTAAGTTGATATTTATCAACAAGTGCTACAGCTTTTATAGTCTTGGTGCTTTTATAGGAACATCAAATATATTCATTGGCATTAACTAGGCTACTCAATGTAGAGTCATTACCCTTACTAATAATGGGGACCATCCTGTTGATTCATCTGAGGGGCCAGCGAGGATATCATGTAGTTTGATTTGCTTAGCCTCCTAAATTTTCTATAATTTGGAATGTGAAAGATCTTTCAGATCTAAAAGTATGGTTGCAGTTGGTTGTAGTTCTTGAAAGGTTCATAACCCATTATGGCTGAGAATTGGACTCTTAGTGATGGAGCCAGGAAGAATTCAAAAATGTTGAGTTCATCGTAATTTGCTACACGTTACGAATCTGCTTAGCAACTCTGATGTGATTCCATGGCCCAAAGGGGGAATTTTAAATGATATTTTTTCCCTTTCTAAAAAATGACATGAATAAATTTTTATTTCATAAAAGTACTCCTTGATGAAAAATGAATTGAGTCATAAGATGTTTCCTAATTTTAAATTAATTGCATGACCAGAGGAACCATGAAGATTTCTCGTTGTCGATATGAGTTCTGCATAGCCAACAGAATAGACATCCTTGAGTGTCAACTAGTCTTCTACGCCCTCATTGTTCAATAATATTTCATCAATAGAAGCTCAAAACCAATTAAAAAAAGGATATCATTCTGAACATAAAATATAGATGCCTGGGTGGTAAAAAAACATTTATAAGTCAAAATTCAAATTTAGATGCCTAATTAACAAAATTAAAAAAATTATTGACAGTCATGATCAAATACCTGAGTAAGAGTCTGAACTTCCCTCTTTAGCCAATCTTGAATCCAAATATTTTTCTGGAAATACTTACGCCGCTTCCAATATTGTTCCACATTGAACATATCATTTGCATGATCTGCTAAAATTTGTCAGTTCATATTATAAGAGATAATGAAAGAAACTGGAAGTAATAACCTGCAAAGTACCTATTTGGCTGACATAAAACTTCATTCTAAAATCATGAGCATCTGAAAGATGTCTGCAGAATTAACAAACACAACACTTGTGAGCTAAGCTCAATGGTGACGGAGGACTCACATAGAAGACCACCGACAACTATGAATAGTTGTTCCTATTATTCTTGTTATAAAGTTCATGGACTGATATTCTAACAAGCAACATCAATCATGAATCTTTTGTCTTTTACCCATCAAGAAGAGAAAGAAAGATGATCAGCCCACAAACCTCTTTCCAAAATCTTGATTCACATAGTGTCTCTGAAAGCTTTTACCATTGAAGTCATGAACAATAGAAAAATTCTCAATCTGCAGGTGTATAACAAAACAAAGTACCTCATACATGAAATATCTGAAACAAGTTTAAGAATAATATCATTAACGTACTATTAATTACTTGTTGGTCATGCTCAAACAAAAATATATGTTGCACTTCTGTAAGTACAGCAGGAACTTATTTTGTTTCCAAAGGCTGTCACCATATGCTTCATTGAGGTCTTTTATTCTTTAAATAATAATTAAAAACTCAGTTTCATCTGAAAATATTTATCAAAAAATAATAAAAACATTTTAGAAAGAGTGTTCTTATTAATGTATACCCTTTAACGAAGATGGATATATGATTTAAGATGTGTTGTCTAGGTCATTGTTATTATAATTATGATCAATGAAGTTAGATTGGAGATTCGTTGTATCTTTCTACTGTAATCTCATGTTACATTGCCTAAATTTTAAAGAATCATATAAATAATATAATTCTTCCCTGGCAAATATCTTAATCTTCATTAATTAAATGTCTTGATGTATAATATCACCTTGCAAAGAGGGCATTTGACTGAAGTCACGGATTGTACGTGTTTGCTATCAACATATCTAATCCACTGAGAAATACACCGATAGCAAAATGCATCTGTAAGTGAATAGTGAAAAGTGACACATCATATAGAAGAATAAGAATTATGCATACCAATGATCCATCATAACTGTTAATCTTCTAAAAATATCATAGCAGGAAAATCATTGAGAATATCTTCTATGACATCCTAAAACAGTGTTTACTTACAAGAATGCTAACTATAAGACATTCAATTTTTTTCCCGATTATGAATATTTTTATAGATATTTGCATACTATTAATAAGTCAAATACATCCAAAAAATTGAAACATAACAAGTATTACAAGCCACAAACACTTGAAACACAGGTAACTCTAGGAGAAATGCTTAATTTTCCTAGAGTCAAATTTATCTAAGCTAACAAAGAAAGAAAGTTCTCGTGGAACAAAGACTGTTAGTTTAGTCATACCACGAACGTGATAATGTTAATGGATGCACAAGGGTAAAAAAGGATCCATGTTGCAAAACCCAAATGGTTGGGATCTATAGCGTGTTATAAAAGTGAGAATGCTATTCATATTGTCCTCAGCAGAGATCAATGACAAAGAAAACATTCATGTAGACAATACTAAATAGTTGGGATCTATGATTTGTTGGTAATACAAAAGAGACCATCCCACTCAAAGTGTCTTTAAGTTATTGAACAAACTACAGCTGTTGATAATTAAAGAGGAAGTCTCCTTGAGCATGACCAAAGGTACTCCATCACCTTGACCTAATTTGAAGTCAACCTTCACGATAATTTCCATCAAACAGTTTGCAACATTTGCTGTTTGTGGAATTTCACAATCTTTAAATGGTTAAAGACCATATAGATCTGTAGGCATGTACTTGGCGAGTAACAAACTTCAGGATTACTAGGTACAATTATATCAATACAAGAACCATTTGTAGTACAAAAATCAGTTTGTTACATTTGTGTACTACTCAGGACACTAACAAAAATATATTAGAGAAATATATATAGTCAGTGTTTTGTTAAATCTGCTCTACTCATAACAGATGAAGAGGGAAAAAAAAGGAAAGTGAGACGAGAAGAACCCAAACCAATGTTTGCATCTCTTACCTTATTTCCTCCTATCCCACCGTTTGTTAATTTTTCACATGAACATTGGCACACATTACCATGGACCTAAAACCCTCATAGACTTTAGGTCTAAAATCAATAACAGTTATCTCATCTCTGGACCAAGATCTTACTTTCATCAAGTTACATAAATGCATCCATGTGGAAATGTCCTTCAATCTGGAAAAAATAGATGCAAAAATGTAAAATAAAAAAAGACAAAAAGTGTCTAGAAAGTAAATGTAATCAAATCAAATATTTAATTTAGGAATCAATTTTTATTTCCTTACTTACCATTGTAATTTAGGAAATATTAATCTTGTTTCCTTGTTTCTCATTACGAATTAGGAAATGATTATTAAACATTCCAAATAGGATGATATCACATTTATTAATATATTAAATAGAAATAATTCATATTAAATAAATACAAAAATTAAGATAAATTTCTTTTAATGGAGGCTCACCTCCTCCTATTTAAGGGGAGGAATTTCTCTCCTTCGTTCCTCACCTAGTCGGGCACAACAGCGGGAGGAACGAGGAGTTACATCCTGCTGACGAGAGATAGGTTTCCCTACCTTTCTTAAAAATAAAAGTTTTTTATTTCGATTCCTTAAATATTGAAATTTTTATAGTTTGAAAATATTTATCAATTTTTTAATGTCATAATACTTATGGTTGGATTAAGATATATTATCTAAAGTTTTTAAGGGATTCTTCAATCCTCTTTAAAGGTTTCTTTAGGTTTAAATACACTGAAATTATACATATTTTATGTATTGAATACATGATATTTGATTTTTTATATTTGGATTAGGAATGTTATTTCCTAGTATTGCAATTTACCTTTTAATCTTATCTGGATTAAAATATACTATGAGTAGTTAAAAAAAAAATATTTCTTAATCCTTTAATTATTAAAATTTTTATTGTTAGATTATAATATATTATCTGAAAATTTTTATCCCTTTTTAAAATTTAAAATTTTATTGTTTGATTAGATCATGGTGAAATTATTCATGTAATATATATTGAAAATATGATTTCTAATTTGTATTAAATTAAAAATGTCATTTCCTTGTATTGAAGTTTATCTTTCAATCTTATTCTTTAATCTGTTATTATGTTTTAATGTATTATTGTTAATGAATATATACTGTCATAATTCAATATTGATGAAAGTGGATAGGCATAGGGTTAGAACAGCTTGTAAACTAGGCCCAACCCATACGTCAAGCCACAGCCCACTAGCTAGGCTCAATCAGTAGATTAAGCCCAACCCGTAGACCAGGCCTAACTCGCGGGTCAGGCCCTAGACTACAGGCTAACCCAACCCAGCCCAACATGGGCAGTCATGTGTGATGCATATGACCAATCCATGGGCCAAGGTTGGCCCAATCTACTGTGGTGCATGCACAGTTATGTGGAGTGCACATGACCAGTATATGAGTCGACCTAACCTAGTCCAATATTATGTAATTGTTAGATTTGAGCTGAAACGTTGATTGAACTAAACCAAACTTGATTAGTCTAGATCAATTCAGGGTGATTCCGAATTGGTTTGACTTATTCAAGTCAGTTTAACCTAAATTGAACCTAATCTAGTCTAAATTATACTAGTCTAGGATAGTTCCAGACCAGTTAAATGAGGATTAGAGATCAGTTCAGTTATGTTCTAGTAAATCAAGTTTAAATGGGATCGATTGAACTAGGGTTCAAGTCACTTGAGAGCTAATTTGTATTATTTGATATTATTGACATTTGAAAGAGATGTTTTAAATATGTTGTTTCATCCCGATATAGACATGAACAGTGTGAGATTATGTTATTTCCCTACCGAGGGCAAGTAGGGCGATTCCCTCCGGGAATTAACGGGCCGTCAAACGTGACGACTGGACGGTTCCTCCATCTGTTGTTTGGAGGAACGTGTCCCCACTTTGGTGGGTAAGGGACACCACTCCATCCATTGTTGAGAGTGTGATACGAGTTTACCTCCATTCGCTGTTAGGAGAATACAAACTCATCCCGTAGCTGTAGGATAAAACCTCTCTATCCGTTGTTGAGGGAGTGCTCCTTTGTGTATTTGATATATACCAATGGAATGATTTATTTTTTATCATGCATTCATTTTCAGTTAACTTTTGGGATTCCTACTCAACGTTACTGAATTTTCTTTATTTTTTATTTTCAAAACAGCCTCCCACTAATACTAAATCAAATTCCAATGGAGAGAGAACCTTCCTCTACTACTAGGTAGAGCCACTTGGATGATTCATCAAATTAACATTACTATGTTTACTTTTTCACTTGTGATTTAACGAATGAATAAATGAATTATAATAAATATTTATAAATTATGAATAAAGTAATGTTCATCTACTTGACTCTGAATGTGTGAAAAAATATGATCTTAAAAAAAAAAATCCAAGATATGATAGTAAAAGAAAAGAGTACTTAATTATTGTCCTTTCTTTGACTGCTTTATTTTCAACCCCTCATTTCTGAAAAGTACAATTTCTTGTTCATTAGATTAAAGTTGTTCCACATTTAGTCTTCCGCTTAAGGATGGAAAATACACATAAATAATGAAGCCCATTATACATAACATTACTGTGATTATACATAGTCTATTTGCAATTATGCATTATGTGAAACTTCCTACTATAAAGAATTGCAACCTGGGTATACATATGTATATCCACAGGTAGGGAATCATATACATGATTATTATAGGATTCATAAACCATGAACAGTCTCATCAGAAGATGATGATGGATCGGACTCATATATATGATTACATGGGCCGAGGACTAGTGAATTAGGCTTAAGTATTTTGAGTCATATTCTTAAGGCCTATCCTATCCAGCTTCTTGGACCAATAAGTCTACCAGATTGCAGTAGGACTCTCACAGTCGACATATTGATAATAGAATGATGGGTAAGTGATATGGAATGAAAATTAAGTTCCCATAAATGGGGACCAAGACTTTGGGTGTGGTCTCACAGGAGAATACTATTAAAATAAAAAATTAAATAAAAAGAATTGTTTGGAACTTTATCTTCAAACATGGAAGTTCGACTTACCAAGATAAATTCAGTGACAATTCTCCATAAACAAAAATGTCTTTACCACAGAAATCT